TAGGGCTGCTGCAGCTAACCCTAAGATCCATCGTCCTCGCGATTACCTCACGTTCTAGATTAGACGGAAACACAATTTCTTGTACTAAACTCTGTCCATTTTTGTGGCCCTGCTAGGCCATGGTATGCTCGAGCCGGAGCCTTCACTGTGCATTTAATTTTTTTTTTATGTAAGAAAGTGGCAAACGAGCTGGCGGTTCACCTGATGTTAAGTGATAACCACCGCCCATGGACTAATTTGACTTGACACCTATAAATAAAGTGAATCCAGCTACCTCACTCACCAGACGAAACGCAGAAGTGTAAAAGTTCTACTTTACGCCAGCCTTCTGTGAGGTACTTCGTGGCACTCCATTCGTGCAACAGTGAACACTGTTACTGGTCCAACCACAATTAACAACTATGCAAAAATTATAATGTTTTGAAAAAATATTCCTTTAAATAGTTCTTATTGCTGTAGTACTCAACTCTATTCGAAAACACTTGTGAAGAATTACGGTATGAAAAAAATATGTGTATAGCTCCTTCTTGTTGTACTTGTACTTTCGTATTTTGTGTAGAAGGGTTTGGGCGCTAAATCCCTACGACCACTGCGACTTAGTCTAGATCTATTGTAGTCTTTCTTTTGTAACATTGCCGCTTGCTCTCGGACAAGTTACCGTTTTTGTATGGACGTTTTACATACACAAAATTATACATGGACGAACGTGGTAAATCCATAATTTAATTCCGTTCTCTATTGGATAAGCAGAAGCCACTGTGGACCATTTAAAAAAATCCTCGAGTTATTAACAATTTCACATACGATTAAAAGTCGCTAAGCGAGTTACGGTGTAGTGTAGCTGTTCCCCGCCGTATCTCTACTAGATAACGTTCTTAAAAATAAAAGTAACCGAGAAGCAACTGGGAAAGTAGAATAATTCATAAGTTAATTATATAGTTACCGCAGAAACGATAACTTTTCGAATAGAATCTAGCCGCTAGACGAACTCTTGTGTGTTCATCAGTATGTGTATAGTTTTTTTACCTAACGATATCACCTGATGGTAAGTAAGATGTAATACTAAATAGTAAACGCATTAGCTCAGCAACTTGTTCACTCTAATTGTTTAAATAATTATTTTACAATTACGTTACATATATTATTGTTACATTGCATTGTTTTATTACATTCACTACATCATTATTATTATAATATGGATAGGCAGCTAAACACAGTATATTAAATTTGTATGAGCGCCATCTTTCGCTATTTCGTTTAAAGTTATAACAACATGAAACACGTCCTTATAAATATTTTGAAACTATAACGTATACAGTATATAAAACATATACAGAAAAAATAATTAAAGGAGGTTGCGTATAAAGGCTTGAAATTGTGAAGCTTGTTAAAAGTAGGTAACCGTTATTACTCTTAAAAGTTTTTTAACATTTCTATACTAACGCCATCTATGCTATAACACACGCTTTTCTTTGTATATTTGACGAAAGCATTGTTTATCATATACACATAATTGCACGAGATAGCGCTTAACAAAACTAATAAAAATTCTGCTTATAATTTAGCAGAAAGAACTTTAACAGAGAAGGATAACTTACTGTTCACTTAAATTCTTAACCGCTTATAAAAATTCTTTAATTCTCTAGATTTAATTTCTACATGTCTTCTTCTCGTTCGTTACTTCGATCTCTAGTCTCTTCGTGATCAATAAGTACTGCTAAAAATAAAAGGCTCAACTCGTCTCTCACCATCTTCATTTCCTCTATTCTAGTTTTCTGTGGAATGCGCTGCTTCCCGAAATCAGAATAGCTAAGAGCAACGGCGTATTTAGCAGAAATATCTCGTCAACTGACTATACTTATTATTGTAATACCAAATTGTTCCATTTTATTTTTATGTTGTATTGTCTCATCATCATCATCATAATTTCAGCCTATTTGAGTCCACTGTTGAACATAGGCTGTAGGTGGCCTATGTTCAACAGTGGACTCACTGGACTGCCACGAAGCACATTCCTGAGCCATTCCATCGACTTCTTCTATCAACTTCCCACACATTTACACAGGTCGCCACTCCATCTATTGTGGTAGTCCTACACTGCGATGGCCAGTACGAGGCTGCCTATCAAGAACCTTCCTTCCCCATTGGTTATCGGTGCTACGAGCTATATGGTAGACCTATCGCCACTTCAGCTTGCCAATCTTCTAAGCTATGTTGGTTACTTTTGTTATACTGAGGATATACGCGCCATAGCTCGCTGAGTGACTTTGAGCTTCCTCATACGGCTAGCAGAGAAGGATCCCGTCTCGGTTCCGTAGGTATTGCCTAGTATGATATATTATGACTCGTAATACTCATTACCAATCTCATACTTTTAACGGTGGTAGGGCTACGCAGCAGCCTCGGCTGTTGCACGAATGGGCAGGCCCGTCCGGGCTAGTACCACGACCTCACAGAAGACCAGCGTAAAGTGGAAGTATGACAAATACTTTCGCGTTTCGTCTGGTGAGTGAGGTAGCCGGAGCCCAATTTTGAAAAGGTTGTCAACGCATCTGTAACCCTCGGGTGTAGCAGATGTCCATAGGCGGCGGTATTCACTTAACATTAGGTGAACCGTCTGCTCGTTTGACAACTTTTCGCATAAAATAAATAAATAAAAATAAAAAATCTCATTATCAGTAGGTATTTATTAATACATCTATATCTAGACTCGACACGTAGATACATATCAACGTACTCTACTCCTATTAGTACACCTTTCTATTTCACAGAAGTAAGTATGGATGTGATTGTTTTGAAGTAAGGCCAATAAAAATGTATTTCCGCCGAATATGAAAGAATTTGAATTTGAGCCGAATGTTCTCCCCGAGTGATACTCAGTCACAGAGTGACGTCATACGTGACTCAGAGTTATGTTGTACGTGACTCCAGTCTTTTTTTTTTTTTTAAAACATTAGTAGGGACGTTTTACAAACATAAATTTCACGTTAGACAAGCACCCAGATGCGAAACAACTATCTGTGGGTCGCACAAATAGTTGCCCCGTGTGGGAATCGAACCCACGACCCCCGACGCCGAAGCCAATACCTTGGCAACTGCGCCACGGAGTCATCTTTCCATACGTGACTCTGAGTTTCTCAGTGAGATTATAAGATAAAGAAAGCTAATGAAATTAGCAAGGATGAAAAGTCTGGCAGACTGGCAGAAAATGCTTTTGGCATTAAGTCCACCTTTGTCGAAAGATTTGTAGTTTAAAATAAATAAAAAAAAGACGTGAAGGAAGAAATCGATAGTTGCAAATGTGAGGTGAAATATGCATCAGGCTCGTGCGCTATTATACGAATGTGTCTACGCGTGTGTCTGTTGTTTTTAATTTTTCATTCACAATATTGTCATAACAAATATCAGCAAACGTTTGACTAGATTTTGATTTAATAATCAACATAGAAATATACGCCAATAAACATGTTTTAGTTGACCTTTAATCTGCGCACGAAAGACAAGGTAGCCGAGTTTCCGTGACAATAATAATTTGTTCGGCAACTACATACGTGCATACAGACTGGTGTCACTGTTACAAACCCGTCGTAAAACTTATAAATATAAATCTGATATGAGCTTTGAAAGCGTTTCCGAGCGGAAATACGATGCTTTTTATTAAATATTATTCTAGTACAATGAGTTATGGAACTACTATATTGGATGACTTTAACAAATAAACGAACGCTTTCCGTATCAAGCTTATAAGCAAATATAACGAAAAACATTGTAGTATTTTGTTTACCACTAAAATTACTTGTTACATTATTATGACATATTACAAACACGTCTTGTTATTTTCCTGTTTTGGGGCCAAACAAAAGTAAAAATTAGGTCTCTTGAGAAATCTTGCAAATTTTCCAAACTCAACGTACCTACGTTGATATTAATATTTATTATTTTTTTTTATTTTTATTATTTCTTTTAATTATTGTGTTATTGTGTTTTTAATAAATCGATAGTAAGAAAATCTGTAATTTATATAATGGATATGTATATAAATATATAATAGATATAGCAAACCTTCATATTTTGTAATTTTATATTTTTTGGACGGTGGATAGTACTGAAATTAATTTTGGTAAGGTCAGTGTTATTTAAATCATTTTTGATGTATAGGTTCTGGTTGTTTACCATTGTTAAAAGTTGTATAAAAATTATTCTTTCTACATTTTAATTTGAATAACTTAAATTTACATTAGCGCACTAACTCTACAATTTGCATTTTAGAAATTCAACATTTATTTATAGTTTTTAGAATAAATACATCGATAATATTCCAAAATAAAGAAAAACGCAGATAGTTTTTATTTTGACTTTTTTATTCTTACTTATTCTAAGTCAGATTCTCTGTATCATTGAGCAATCCATATAAATTGAGTCAATATGAACAAAATACCTCATCCCATCAACCGGATATTCCACACTGCATTTATATTATGAATATTAAATAAGTGTAAAGTGGTTTGTGTTTAATTGTGTTCCTTTGATTCGCAAATATTGACAATATCACAGGAGAATATTACAGTCAAATATGTAACAAGGAAAATTATTGACTTGAGTTATATTACCATCGCATTTATATTACTGTTGCAAGGCAAGAATAGCAAAGATGATAGCTTCTGCCGTATCAACAGAGCAGCTCGACTCAAGGAGTACCATGGCCTCGCAGAAGACAATTGAAGCAGGGGTATTTATACGTTTGTTCTTCCAAAAATTTGTGAGGTTGACAACGCCTGCATCATTTTTGGTATTGACAACGTGAGGTAAATCGCCTGCTCTGTTGCCACCCCGTTTTCCCTTCTCACGGAGCAGTGATTGAACAAATTCGAGAGAATTTAAAAAGATTTACACACAGTACAGTGATTTACTCAGCGCAGTTTTCTTCCCCTCTAACGCGACCATTCCACTTTGAAAGCGTCTCCCGTCCCGCGAAATGACACTGGTGGGATATAACATCACATTTTGATCACGGCCCCCTCGTTGATCGACTTTGTCTTCATCGCGAAGAACTCGCGTTCCCTCTTCAGGCCGTCCGCGCCGAGGTAGTACGGGAAGTCATTGTCCGTCGCCAGATAGAAGATGCCCCGCTTCGTCCTATCCACCTTCGGGCCAAGCAGGTTGGTCACCAGCGGGCGTCTGTCGTAGCAGAGCTTGTCGCGCGCCTGCTGCACCGAGTCGCACTGCATCGCGACGAACGAGTCCGGATGCCTCATGGCCGCCAGCCACAGGGTGAACGACCTGATGTGGCTGCAGAGCACGTTGCACGGCATCCACAGCAGATCCCCGGGCTGGTATTCGCCGCCGTTCACGTAGAAGTTCACGTGGCCGACGGGCGCGGCCATGCCGAAGCCGTCGATGTTGGTCGACACCACCTCGACGAAGTCCGCGTCGGTCATGTCGAGCCGCTGTCCCGGGCCCAGGTGGCGGAAGCAAGGCCCCGCCGGGTCTAAGCCGGTGAGCCTGGACACGTTGCGCCCGGTTAAGTCCTGGAGGCCCTTCGCGACGAAGCTCATCGTCTGCCCGCCTAAGCTGAGCCCCACCACCTCCAGTTTGCTGGGATCCAGACCCTCGCCGATTAGCACTGCCAGCATTTTGGCCACGTGCCTGCCCACTGGGCGCATGAAGCGGACGGCCCTGGAAAGGATACAGGGGGGAGGTCAATTGACTGTCTTAAACTAGAGTCCTTTTGTCTCCTCGTATAAAGGCGTCAAACACAGTTATCGCCTGTACGTACTTAACCCTCAACTGCCACCTGTTTGGTCTTTACACGTGTTTATTATTGAATTTTTTTCTGATATCTTTTAGCTACTTAGCACATAATTCGTATGTTAAATAATATAAAAGAGACACACATAACTCACATCGGATACTCCATTGTTGTGAAGGTATTGGTGTCGAGGAGCAGAACGTTGTAACCGACGTCGTGGTAGACGGTGGAGATGGTCCTGGCGATTGGGAAGTTGGGGCTGTCCAGGAAGCCGCCGATGTAGAGCAACGTCTTCCTACTGAAGTCGATGTCGGGGTCGCGAGCTAGCTGGCGCATCTGGTAGTAGTTGTACTTAACGTGTCTCGCGTCGATGACTCCGCCGGGGCCTTGCACGTAAATCGCCAAGTGTTTTAAGCTCTTCTTCGTTATAATCGCCTCCTTCGTTGAGCCGGGACCTGGAATGTTGAAGGCGGGTGTGATTTGTTTTAACTCTCCCTTTGGAATACACTGGAATACACGGGAAAAACTTATGAAGGCAGATGGTTTTTTAACAGTATACAAGAACAAAATAGTTCTTAAATGAAGGGCAGTTGTGGCTTTGTCAGTGAACTCGTGTCGATAAACTTCAGTTTGTGGATTTGATTCATCAAGCTAATCATGTCAATGGTTTTTTTTTTAAATATTTGAATTAAAAATGGTTAAACCTATTTTGGCTTACTTTTAAAAATGGTTGCTTTATATTTGTGAGGCGCGTGATCAATGCAGTGTTTTAGAACTTTACGAGCTCGATGAAAAGGTTTTATATTTTGACCATAAACTTTCTATTTTGATAAACATACGTTTATGCAAAGAATTAAGTAAATAAATATTTCTGGACAGATTTTTATGCAAAGTTCTCTAGTATAATCTAAGAAGAACTTGTACTGTGGGAAACATACTCGTCTTTTGTAAATATTACAGATATATAAAAATCTAAACACTAGAAAAGCACTATTGTCATCACATATTTTTCCACTGGTGGGGATCGAACCTTTTGGTGCAAGAAACAGAATAATTATCTAATACGCAAGTAGAGTAAAGTAACAGCCTATACATGTCCCACTGCTGGGCAAAGGCCTCCTCTATAGAGAGGGTATCAGGGCATAGTCCACCACACGGCCCCACTGCGTATTGGCGGACTTCACATATCTTCGAAATATATATTTTATTGTTATTATTTCGAAAATATGCAGGTTTCCTCACGATGTTTTCCTTCACCGCGGAGCACGTGATAAGTCAGCACTTAAAGTTAAAAACTTCATTGTTGCCGGCACCGGGGATCGAACTCAGGTTGCTCGAGTATATTGAATTAAAGGCGAGCGCCCGGACACTGAGCTATCACGGCTCTTCACTTCTAATACGCAAAACGGGTTGTAAACTTTGAATATTCGGTTTTTCCGTTAAAAGAAAGATAAGTGAAGATGTGTCTTTAATATTTCGAATGTTATTGCCCGTTGCGATCGTTATATGAAAAACATTTTACTAAAATATAAATAATATGCAGGATGTGCCCATTTGATGTAAAATTATTAATATACTTTTGTTTCATTCGCACTTCTTTGCTTTTAAACCAGACAGGTTAATGTTATTCGGGTTATCTTCTCGCAATAACTTTTACAAAGTAAAAACACGATGCGTTCTAATGTTTAAAAATTTTACGAACTTAAGTTCAATCCCCTCTTATGTTACTTAAGTACCCCAAACCTGTCTCTCGTGCTACACGTTCTGAGAACTGATTATAACTATAACGTCTTAAACTAACTATAATGTTTTAAAATTTGACAAGTGCTTTTGCTTTTTTAGCTACTGTGAACGTGTAATCGATTTCATAGTCGATGTGACGTCGGCTAAAACTAAATTAACAGCCTAATGTAAGGCTCATCTGTTCACCCATAGGACATACATATTCTACGGATTGGCGTATGGACGATCCAGAGCCACCTGCATCCATCAACTTCCCGCACAATTGCACAGGTCGTCACTTCATCTAGTGGGAAGAAAGGTTCTCGAGTGGCAGCCTCGTACTGGCCATCGCAGTTTGGGACGACCCCCCACTAGATTTTTTGATAATTTTTTTTAAATTCCTAGCCCTAGGACATGGTTTGATTCTTAAATCAAACCATGTCCTAGGGATAGGAATGTATGATGCATTTGCAACATTCATTGCTATGACGGATGACGCTTTATAAATCGGCCGGGCAAATATTTCTGAGGAATACATTGACAAGTGCCGGAATAAACCTGTGTTCAGTTGAGATTTTGTTATGCAAAATCTGGGATTGAGGCCAACTAAATCTGGTCCAGTTCGAACCGAAGAAGAGACAGGTTTGTAAGTTTACCGTGAAGAGGAAACCTTTCGTCGCGTCTCATTACTTTGAAGGTACCTGTTACTACATTGTTGCTACATATTTGATCAGAATTCTTGGAGTTGACATTTCAGGCGGAGTTCAATTTCGCAGCATTTGGAAGTGAAAGCTGGCTTCTAATAAGCTCGTGTCCAAAATAGAGTGAGACAGTATTTTCTGTCAGCACGCTGTTTCATCGCTTACAGCTTTATAAGGCAGAGATTCAGCCGCGCGTGGCATATTGTTCTCACCTGTGGGGTTGGGCACCAAAATACCAGCTCCTATTGTCATTCAGGCTCCTTATCATCCCGCGACCTTACTTGCCTTGAAAATTTTAGATAAATCAATGACCATAGGTACAAACAACGGAACAAACTAAAGTAATCTGATCATGCGTCCTTCATCCATTTTGTTATCGATGAACAAACTTCTTTTGTTATCGAAAAAGGTTTTGTTACCACGTGCCGACGTTTAAAGCATATCGCTTAGTGACGAATGTAACTTGACCTAAAACGAAGTAAAGTCTTGGTAAATATTGTTTTCGTTTAGATAGGTAAACGATGTAGTTTAGAGGCAAAACGCTGTTTCATATAAGTATATTTGTCAAATACACTTGTGTACTTCACCTTCAACGATAAGATGTTATTTCTACTCCTGGATTAAGAATTAAAAAAGTGTACGTGAAATTTCTCAATCCTATTATAGCAAACGAACTTTATTACCTCGAATGGTATTGCAGTTTAACTCTTGGAAGTAATATACGCTAATGCATACATCACAATAAAGGCAGCCATTGTAAGTGACGGGTAAACACGAACAGGTAACGCCCCTACGCTTGTAGAGTAATAAATTATAGTCTCGGTATGTTTGGACGACATTGACTAACGAGTGTCAACAAGCTGTTGAACTCTTAAAGCATAAAGAGGCAAGAGAGAGAAGGTAAGCTTGTAGTCGTCCTTAGAGCTGAGTCGTACTTAGACTCTAATTTTATTGGAGTTTTTGCATTCGGTTCATAATGTAATAGTGCAGGTGTAACGTGAGTTTTTAGTGGGTACCTGTCGTGTTCAGGACTCCCACAAACCCCTGCCATTCCCACAATTCCTCAGGGATCCGTAAAAGATTCTTCCCACATTAAAAAAAGGGTTGATATTTATGTCGAATTGGTGATTCACTGCGTTCACCGTCTCACCGATACTGTTTTTTCGGAGTTTTTCTAAAACCTGAACACCGAGGGGTAGATTAGCATGTCTGTTTATTCTCTAATATCTTACTTACAATTCGGTATAGAAATCTAAGAGGTGGTTAAAATTTAAGTAGAGTTTAGCGAATCATCGAGCAATGTTGAAGCAGCTTCCATGTGCTTATGTATCATTTCTATTATTTATATAAAAAAGTTACAAAATTAAGTACTATTATAGCGGTATAAAACCAATTAATCTCTAAAATAAATTAGTTTAATATTTCATTCGACCTCAACTAGATCAACGCTCCGCCCCTAAATCTAAGTAATCTAATCAAAAGTTAAGTATAAGATTTACATACTCAGTACGGCAAGTGCGTTAATTTATAGTAATTACATTATTAATTTATTACTTAAGTTTTACACAAGTCTTGTGTATTGGCGGAATCAATGCCTGCTGCAATCTATACCGGTCAACCTTTTTTATTTATATTAGGTGATGCAGAGATAAAAGATTACTCCTCATTTATAATTTACTGTTAACAATGCCTTGCTGACTTGTTATTATCGCCATAGTATGTGGGTTTGATTCCCAGTACGTTCGTAAAAAATTACTTGTATTTTGCTGTATGTAATGTGGTGTATTTAATATGGTGTAAATGGAGTTTATAGGATCCCTAGTTGAAAAACTTTGAACTGTTCGGAACCATTGCTCGAAATGCATATTTATAAATTGTTCCCTAATCTCTGATAAATGGTGAGAATATTTAAATGGCGAAGCAAAGGGTAAATAATAAAACATAAACATGTACAAGAGGAGAAGGCGTAAACATGTATAAATTGTTTACATTTTACATTATACTTCTTTTACATTATTTGTAGAACGTAGTTTCCTATATTTGTTCTATAAAATCATTTTATTTACCTGGTTACATCTGCATATACATTAAGGTCATTGTTACTTACAATATTTATAAATAAGATAAAACTGATTTCTCTCTTATAATTTCTAGAGAAATAGCAGAATTTAAAAGTTAGTTTAAACGTAAAAAAACCTTTAAATCAGCTGCTCTCTATTGGGGTTTAATAGAGTTAGGTAGAGAGCATGAAGTTCACGTGATGTTAAGTGATAAATAAGTTTAAAAATAAGGTAATTTTCATGCAGACTGGTCTGCAATTTTTAATGTCATCAAATAGAATGAATCCAGAGGGGATAATTGGCTTGATTTCTTGAATATACATGATTATACATTTTGTTAATAAGATGCAACGAAACGACAAAAAATAAATGTGTATAGGTAAGTGCCCTTTTGCATTTACACTTCTTCTGGCGCGTTTGGAAAAAATTATGAGAGTAAAATGTTTATGATGCGTGCGCACACTGACGTAAAAAAGTGACATGATCAAGTTGGTAAAGCGTTCAAATCCACGGTGTTACCATGGCAAAGAACAACAACTTTTTAACATTTATCATTATTTTTTTAATTGAATTTACTGTCTTTTTCACAAAACAAGAGTACTAACACAGGGCATAAAGTTTTAGTAATTTTTCTTTTATTACGCTAAAGAAGTATAACTTCTTACGAAGGTATATAAGAACACACATGTCTTTTTGCCTTTAAAATCCCTCCACCATCACAACATACTGAAAAACAAAGTCGTCCCGCTGTCTGTCTTTCCCTATGTATGCCTAGATCTATAAAACTACTCAACGGATCTTGATGCGTTTCTCTTTTACTAGATAGATTAATTCAAGAGGAAGGTTTATATGTATAATACATTGTACCCGTGCGTAGCCGGGGTGGGTCGCTAGTAATATATATATAGCTGTGTAAGGCTTTATCTTAGGGGTCAGGGTCGAGTCCATGGACTTAGAGCACATTTAGTAAATAGATAAGCAGCGCAACCAGCCCACTGGCCTCTGACAAAACATAAACTGTGTTTTTCTACAAAAATCACATTTTGATTTTGAAAAGTACCGGCCCTCTTATCATCCGCCGAAACTACAAAGCGAGGACATAATTCTTCGAGAAATTTCGATTTACGGGCACACCACGGATCTGAAGTTCCTACAGCAATTTACACACATACATGATCTACAGAAAGAGAGTATATTTGCGCCACTTACTTCAGCTGCCTCTGGTACTGCCCCGGCTGTGATAGAAGTATCTTTCTATCAAGGCATCAGAGTCAAACCGTCAGGTCTTGTGAAAGTCAGGTATCATACCAACGTGACGGAAAATGCCACACGGCTTTAAAATAGAGAACTTTGTTGCAAACAAGAGCCATACGAATTTCATCGTTTAGAAACCATAGTGGAAGAAGCAAATTTTTGACTTGAAAGTTCGTGGAGACATATTAGACGTTTCCACGCCATTATTATATTAGGACAAATTTTTCACACAAAGTTTTCTAGTCCCGAACTAAGCAATGCTTGTACTATGGCTACTAGATAACTGATAAACATACTTAAACATACTTTTGTTTTGTAAATAAATACATATTATACATATATAAACACACAGACACTAGAAAAACACTATGTTCATCACACAATATTTTTCCAGTAGGGGGGATCGAACCCACACCCTCTGACGCAGGAGGCAGCTACACTACCCACCACGCCATTCAGGTCGTCAGGTTGACACAAGGGCGATGATAGTGAGGTTGGTAAATCTGAGCTTCCAAACGGATTCCTACAGCAATGCGCTATCTTTCGTCGTCAAGTAAAGTGCACAACTTACTTGATGGTAAAATTAAAGCCACCTCGATTCTTCAAAAGAAAAATTTAAAAAACAAAAAAAATTAAAAAGAATAGTGGTTCGTTTTTACGCTGTTTCGATTAATAAGTATGAATGCTACTAATTAGTGTCCGTATTAGTTCAAACATTTCCACAGCCTGTAAATTATTATTATAATTGCCGCTACGAAGGTCAGCGTTAATCATGATCAAGTATTTATAATCGATCTCTCACTGATCCTTAACCATTATATGCTTATTATTATTTTTTTTTCTTCGTTGATGATCGGAATTTCCGAGTTATAAATATTGTTAATGGACATAAATACAACTAGCTTTAATGTTTTATTGGGTCAAATGGGCCTTACTAAACATGCTTGCGCACAATAAAACACTTAGATTGTAATAATTTCCGAAGATAAAATTCATGAACCAAAAGACAATAGAACGGAGTTTTTTTTTATTATTCCACTGATATACAACGGCTATGTTTTATTCGAATTAAAGAAAATTTTGAGTTGGAAACATCAATGTTTCTTGGAATAGTTCTGAGATTATTCCATGATGACGCATTATAATTGCTAAATAGCCGTTAATCAATGCAAGTATTTGTAATCTCTTAGTTGAGCTGCGGATAATTAGTACGAATGACTGGGATTGATAGGCTTGTATTAAGTTAGGGCGTTTACGGCCAATGTCAACACTGTCACTTACTAATCATCATCCTTTGTTAACGCACGCATGAGCACATGCGCGGCCCTACCCACTGTGGAGGGGATTAAAACCGTGGGTTCTGGCTAGCCCACCGGTTCTGCGTTCGATGAAGCTTTAATAGTCTCGGGACTGAAAGCGCTAACATCAGTTTATACAAGATACAAGAAGACTAATCACCTATCGCTTAGCTGATATTTCGCCCTTCATAAAAAATATGTATGTAGTTACCGTAAGCACGTAAGAAGTGATACTTTTTTAGCGTAGCAAAAAAGAATTACTAAAAATGTATCCCCTGTGCCAGTACTCTTTGTTCGTTGAAAAGACATTAAATGAAATTGATAACGGTTTCATTGAATGATTTGATGAAATTATACGTCAACTTCAAAATGTTGTTATTGGTTGACATGGTAATACCGTGAAGTTGCTCGCTTTACCGCCAACTACGCCTGCGCACTTATCGTAAATATTTTACCCTCACAAATTGTTCCAAACAGCCCGAAAGACAAGTCGAAGACACGTGAATCCTAAACTATCAACATCATTGTATGATTCCCTTCCCCCCTACATCCCTCGTCCTATTAATTTTTCCTCCCTTTTAACTTACACTAATTCACCATTTGTATATATTCTATGCGACTTTATTATATCGAATAAAATTAAACTTTGATGGATTCAAGGTTCATGTCTAATATTTTTTTCATTGTTCTAGGTAATTCAACAGGAAATTACTTTTTCTTTCTTGTTCTCAACATATTTTTTTTTTCTTATTTTAATTTTAATTCCCTTATATGATTTCTTATGCCTCTGCTATGCCGAATCTGTTCGATAACCAATCCACTTAATAATTTTCCTATATTTACTGGCGAATACCTAACCGCCATAAAGGAAAAAGAAGAAGACACGTGAAGTCTACCGATCCGCAGTGGGGCCGCGTGGTTGTCTATGCCTTAATACAGAGGGTACGGAGGCCTTGCTAAGCAGTGGGACATACTCGTATATAACTTAGCAAGTCTGTCGACTCCAGATTTATCTGGAAAATTTATCTATTTAAAGTGCTGCGAATTTGTTCTCATGTACCACACAGTATCGAGAACTTGATGATTTACGAGTACCAAGTCCAAGTGAGAAATATTCTTTTTTCGTTTAGATAACAATATATTTTATCAAGTGACATTTACAAAGTGTCGGAAACAAAAAACAAACATGACGCAACATAAAAATGAATTGTTCTCGGCGTGTTATAAAAACGACGATAATAAATAAATATTTTATGAAAAAAAGTTTAAGACACTGAAAATATTAACTTCCGCAATTTGCATACAAAATAAAACCATCTAAGTGCGAATCGGACTCGGGGACGAAGGATAGCGTACCATTATCTACAAAAACGGCACAAAAAAAAGAAAAAAATTCTGTTGCATAGGAGCCCCGCTTACATGGCACCAGAAATACATCATCTGTGAAAATTTCAACGATCGAACTATCACGGTTCATGAGATAGCCTGTCCGTCTGTCATCAGCCTGGTGACAGACGGACAGACAGACCGACGGACAGATGGACAGTCAGACAGACAGACAGACAGACGGACGGACGGACAGACAGACAGATATACAAGCAGACAGACAGACAGACAACGGAGTCTTAATAATAGAGTCCCGTTATACCTTTTGGGTCCGGAACCCTAAGAAATGTACAATACATTTTATTGCAATAGCCAAAACTACATAGTTTCTTTCATATTTCAATTTTAATTCCCTATACTGGAACCTCACTTTTAAACGTTTCACGGATAGACCAGATTTTGTGGAAGTACTTACCACGGCCCAACAGAAGACAAACGTAAAGTTATAGCATTGATAATTAATCTTAGGTTTCGTTTAATTGAAGAGTTACTGTTATCCCAAATTTTTTTTTTTTTTTTTTTTTTATATACTTAATATTCATTATAGGACAGTGACACATATTATATAGAGTGCATTACGTAAATTTGAACATAACATGGAAATCTATGCAACGCATCTGCTACCCTACGGGAGTTGCAAATGTCCACAGTTAACACTTAACGTCAGGTGAACCGCCAGCTAGCTTGCCACCTCACATAAAAAAAATTAAATCTGTCCGATCTTTTCACCTGTAAAGGGTAGAAGTATATAGGTGTAGACCCCAATGGCGTATTGGATAGGGAACCTTCGTATTAAGCCTCAAAACATGATAACGTGAAACAATAATTTTTGCAATATGTAAGACATCCGAAAAACGGCAATCGAACCAAAGACTGCAAATCAACAAGTTAACAAGCCACTGCTGCCTTTCATTCATAATATACCCATAAAAATATATTATCCTTTTCCTTAACCTAAGCGACTTACAGTTTCTGGGAAAGGAGAAAACTTGGTTTACATCAATTTCTGATTTCGCAAACAGTAGGTATTTAATTTTTTTTACCGGTAGTAGTATTATTTTAATTAAATTAAATATTTTAAGTTGTTAATAAAAAAAATTATGTTGATTAATGAAATTACATTTGGGTACCAAATGTTATTTATTTAGTGTGTGAAAATTGAGGTAAAATTGTCAATTTTCCGAACGGTTTCCTCTCATTGTAAACAATATCAGCGTTATGCTTATTACGAAATCTAAAACTACTAAACTTTCTATATGCTTATATTAATTTTATTACTTGTTCTACTTTATTTATTATATTCGTTTTTAATGCATGTTCCTTATAAAGGCCCATTTACACGATGCCATTTTCTTGTACATACAAGAGCAATAATTGAATGCAATAAATTGCGCGCAATAATTGTTAAGACCATTTGTTGTTTAGACCATGCAACTCATTTATTGCTTCAATTTAATTGTATACAACAGGCAAGAAACTGGCACCGTGTAAATGGGTCTTAACTCTAACAGTGCGTGTTCAAGCTGATAGAAATAAGAGCGTGTACTTCCACAAAGCGTGTAGTAAATTGAGTGGAAGTTTACGATATTACACGAATACACAAAAATTATCAAAGGCACAAAGCCCTCCCTTATGGAATGGAAGTAAATGTTATACGATATCGAGCAATTAATTCTGACTCACAGTCTCCCAAATATCCCGACGGGTAGCCCTCCAGGGCCCTGGAGCTGTACATAGCAGTGACGTCACTGGCGGAGAAGACTAAGAAGACCCACGACACCAGCAACATTTTTCACTCGCGCCACGGAATCTGCACTAGACGTCCATACGACACCGAAGTTAAAGTCCTAGTGAGTTAGGGCTGGCTTGTGCCAATCTTGACGCTAAGTTCAACTGCCCTTATGTGGCTACTGAAGCAACTTTTTAAATAATGGAACCAATGTTATCTGTACTAATGCTACGAAGAGTTGTCTGTTTGATTGTACGTAGCATTATTGAGCAGATTGTCTGAGGGTTTCTATCGATTGTTTCTGTTTTTTTTTTTTCCTAGAAGCATAGTTGCATAAAACTCGAGTAACACAGGCTGTTACATTCTTAGGTCGGTACATTTTTTGCTATTGTTAACTTTCGGGAAAGTCAACTAGACAACGTATTTATATCGTGTAAAAGTAAAAAAAGTTAATTAACAGCCCATAAATGTTCTCCTATGTAAAGAGGATATCAGGGCATAGTCCACCCACGCGACCCCATTGCGGATTGGCAGACTTCACATATTTTAGAAATATTTTTTTTTCTTATTACCTATTATTTCGAAAATATGCAGGTTTCCTCGCGATTTTTTCCTTCATCGGCGAGCACGTGATAATTTAGCACTTAAAATTAACAATTTATATTTTCTCTTCCACCAATTTACACATATTTAGGTTTTGGTAAAAATTAGAATTAATTTATTTTTATGGATTTTAATTGTAAAAATTTACTCAATTTACTTTTTTGTAGAAATGTAACACAAAGTTGTCTTTAGTGCATTGTCTTGCGGTACAGTTTTTTTTATACTTATTGGATGATGATTTAGCTTGCACCTTGATTGACAGCACAAAGCTTTGGACATAGTCCGTAGAAAGGATACCCAAGATCGTTTTCGGTAAAGTATTTTCAAACGTAACTATTACTTAGTCTACATATATCATTCTCATGTTATGGTGTCATTAGGAGCAAAATATACGCTTTTATAATGCTATGCTAATAATTTGTCTTCGCAAATTCTTAGCAGGTTCGTTTATTTCGCGAGGAACATTATTTAATGTCAATGGAATGATTGTTCGTGTTGCTTTGTTCAATGAAAAAGCTAAATCGTAATATCAATTCATTGATCTTGCTTATGAAGCTCTCATTTACAAATTAAATCAAATCCGTCACATACGCACAGTTCAAGTTAACGCACGTTATAAAGGCGAGAAAAGTTACGTTATTTTCCTGACTGAGTTAAGTTTAGTTCAGTTTAGGCAGAATTCCAAACTGTGCGAATAAATTACCTAGAAGTAAATTAGATCTTAACCAAAATAATTAAGCGTTTAAGAGTGCAAAGGTCACATACATTATGTCAAAGTCAAGGTTGAGCTCTCCATAAGTTGTATGGTTTATACATGTACGAGTATCATGTCATTTGTGGTATCAGATTCGATTAAAGTGACGAATGTTTTATTATGATTTGATTCATTGAGGCTGCCAAGGAAATTTAAATTCGCACTCAAATTTGTAAGCTAAAAAAATTATACTAACAAATTACGATTTATGTAGGTACTATTTAAAGTTAGAATAATTCATTATGCATTTAAGATCGAATAGAATAAGTCGTGATAAAAAAATCTGAGTAATTATACGTACATAAATCTATATCAATTAAAAAATAAACATTTTTATATGGAAATCAACAAAAAGTACCTATAATAGAATATTATAGATTACTTATATATATATAACAATATATATGTCGCCGCAGCGATTATTTGGCTGTTTACCTTTAAGTTAATTTAAAATCGTAATACTGAATAAAAATGATTATATTTAGAAAACAAGTTTGTTAATTCATAAATTTAGTTTTAATTATTACAAGAAATGATTATTCTCAACTACATGATTAAAAGTTATATTTACTAGAAAATCAATAACTAAATCCTCATCTTAATTTAGTAAATAAATACTACCTTAATTTAAACATTTAATTTATAAGTAACAGTTTTGTCTCACTAATACAGTCTCAATACGATTCCGTATTTCAACCATTTGAATGTCCATACTTTTGTTTATTTGTGAAATTGCTTAAATAACTTTTGAATAGTTTTAAAAACATTACTATAAAACTATGGAACTTTTATAACAATTTATTCGTTAATAACAACTTTAATTCATTTATAATAGTTTCATAAAGTTGTAAAAATACTGTGCGATTATAACGCCACTGGCGATTCAGTGGCGTTGACATTGTAAACTGTGGTACCTAGAGTGCTTTGAGTGGAGAGCTCACTTCGAAGCTGACTTTTGAAGAGAAAACATTGTAAGTAAAATCTGTGTCAGTTTAATAAAATAATAATTATTTTTGTACTTGGTTTATTTGTTACTTTTGGCCTAACCCTTATGTTTAAAGTATTGATGTAATCCCTTCGTTTATAAGAATTTAATAAAGTATTTGGTTGTGTAGTTTGTAAATAAAACTTGCTTAAGTATATTGGAACTGATGACTTTAGGGTGACCCTAAAGTCATCAGTTCTGTTTCCTTTTTTTTTTTTAATAACTTTGAAGTGAAATTTCCGATATATATATATAATAAACAATATATATATATTGTTTTTAACTTTTTTCAATGCCTAGATCAGAGCGTGGTAGGGCTTAATCATACTGTAGTAGGGCCACACAATAATCTTCGCTGTTGCACGAAGACCGACGTGAAGTGGTACCGGGGGCACACTTTTTTTTCAGATTCTCAACGTGAAGCCATCGGTAGTAAATGTCCCTAGGCGGCGTTGTTCACTTAAAATCAGGTGAATCGCCTGCTCGCTTTACAACTTTTCCACTAATGAAAAACTATTTTTCCACTAATGAAAAACTATTTTTCCACTAATGAAAAACTATTTTTTCACTAATGAAAAACTTTTGTCTGAGTGAACGGATTTTGATGTTTCTTTTTTTATTTGAAAGCTGGTGCTTCCCATGCGGTCCCGTATTAATTTCATTGGTATTGGATCTTGGGCTCTGATACTTAGGGATCTTCTGAATCAGAAGTTATATCATCAGAAGTTCATCAGAATCAGTTATATAATAACCATTTTTTTACTATCGAAAAACAAAACCGACCTTCGTATTCATTTTATAATTGACTTTCAGGAGTTTTCATTCATTTTAGAACCTCCTCCTTTTGAAGTCGGTTAAAAAAGCACCCACGCCCTCTGCCACTATAAGTGATAAGAGGCGATACACGACCAAGCCGTTCAGCCAAAGAAAAAATTACCACCGCCAATCAAATCCGAAAGCCATCTGCAACTCTACGGTTGTTGCAAATGTCTATGGGCAGCGGTTATCACTTCACATCAGGCGAACCGCCAGCTAGATTGCGACCTTACATAAAAATAGAAAAAAATTGTGAGTACAGAGTATAGATACTTCAAGTTAATTTTGTTTTTTGTTAACAAAAAAGTTTTACTTGTTTCGATGCACTGTTTCCCACCTCACTAAATAGACCATAGACAAAAGCTGATATGATGATTTTCTGTATGTATTTCCTAGACAAGCCATCCCATACATGCGCCATTTTTACGCTGTTCGAAATTTATGGAGTCCCCAAGGATATGTTTGTGGAAATATGTAGTAACAAAATCTTTACGCGTCAACATGTGCGAATAGATAATAACTTACCAATTAATTGCGAAATGATGATTGAGGACGAAAACACGGTTATTGAGGAGCCAAAGGTTTTCAAGCATAAAATAGTTATTGCTTATTATTGTATCATTAAGTTTTTTTTATCTCTTCGGACAGTTAATGGTGAAACAAAATGTTGTAAATTTTTATAATAAATATTTAGTAAAATGGGTATTTGTAGTGTCTTCATATTTAATAAAACGGCAACCAAAGTTTTTTAATCAATTTTATTAATCAACAGGAAGGATTATATATATTTACTAGCTGACCCGGCAAACGTTGTTTTGCCATATAAATTATTTGTAGGGTAGAAAAAAATGTTTGGGGTGGACCACCCTTAACATTTAGGGGGATGGAAAATATATGTTGTCCGATTCTCCATCTTGGCCGATATGCACACAAAATTTCACGAAAATCGGTCGAGTCGTTTCGGAGGAATTCAACTATAAACATCGTGACACGAGAATTTTAAATATTTATTTTTATTATGATACACTATATTTGGTGACAAAGTAACACCTAACATCATAATCAGCTGATTAATTATTCTCGAATAGTAAATAAGATGATTAGTTCTACAATTGATTTCTTATTTTGCGACTGGAACAGAAAAATGTATGTAATGTCACTTTTCATCTTATGGACTTATTATAACCTCGAGTTACCCAGGCTGGACGCAGTATATTAGGTTCTATATTTTTTTTTATTTTTGTAGATAAATAACATTCGACGGTAGAGGATTCGAAACTGTCTTCTGGTTTCAAGCCTAAACGCTTTACCAACTAAGATAAGCGGCTGATGACCTCACCGGCGCGAAAATCTTGACATCTTCAATTTTCTGTTCATTTATCTGCAGAAATATAAAATTTTAAGTTGCATCTTAAGTAAATAGATTAGCACTAAAAAAAATAATGTCAAAAAAATATTGAGTGCCTGCCTGAGACACTGCCGTTTCATACAATGACAAATCATGCCCTATTTAAATTGAAAAGTATATGAGTAATCGATGCAAGTAATTCGCCATTGTTTTCGATTAATTTTAATAGAATTGCATTATATTAATGGATGTCCAATTACGCCCGTGCTATAGAAATTTGTCGGGCGGATATGGATGAAAATAAGCAAGGCTATAGAAGCTAACGAAGACATTCCCTTTGGCTCATTGCATTATAAATATTTACCCTGCAAAACGTTGTCGCATTTCCGACAAAAAATGAATATCAGTGGGTACCTCATAAGTAGGGTAACAGAGAATTTCCAGTCGTATAGTCATGTAGTTTCGATACTGTCCACTAACACAGACCCAATTTACTCTCTTGACATGACCTGGTATGGGGATAACATTGAGGCGGCCATTTTACTTTGTCATGC